TAAATGCACATCATTTACACCTTATCCTAAAGGGATGTTCTTCTGCTATCTGATCCAGAAGCTTTTTCCTTTTATTCCTTCAAAGAATGAATAGCTGCAGTTTTCTAAATCAGAGCAGCTAATTGACTTCAACACCCCGCAGGAGGACTGCAATCCAGGAGCAGCGATGTTGTGTGAAAACTAGAGAATGAAACCAGACAGCTCACTTTCACTGCCTACCAAGCATCAATTTAATCTGAAAAAAATACATAAACGTGGATACTTCACAGTTTGACAGGTTCCTTTAAACAGAATTCAAAGGACTGAAATAAATTTAGATTATTTCCACAGATTCTTCATACTAAATTCAAGCAAATACAGTGAATATTTAAAGTATTAAGAGCAGGCACAATCAACTAGAGGTAGAGCGCTTCTGTACCTCTGAGTATGCTTCCAGAAATACAATTTGTGCCCACGCTGAAGTACAGACCTTACTGAACTGCTCTTCATGATGGGTGACTGTGGGAACGTTCAAAGACTCCTGGATAAAATCCATTGAATCTTGCACTAAGTATCATAATACTTTGATTTATACATCACTTCAGTTAATTTATAATAATATATGGAGGAAAAACATGTTTGAAAGGCAAAATTCTATGAAAACATACTTCTTAAAGAGCAAATAGAGGAAAGCACAGGCCTGCCTGGTATTTGTATCAGAGTAACATCAGCAGCTGTAAGAAGAAATTACAAACAAGTCACTAGATTACAGTTTAGTCAAGCCAGATGAAGTGCTCAATATATACAGTAAAATCACAAGATTTTCTGTATTAATTTTATCTTGGAGATTTGTACTGATTATAAAAATATGAATGCACTAATTTCAGATCTGTGCTTTCTGAATAAATCCTCTATATCCTATTATACCAGAATACTCTAGGGCTTAAGCGAGTGCACTAGTCCCACTCACAATGGCCAGTATTTAATTAACATGAAAAACCCTTAAAGTTGCTCAATCATGTAGACAAAGTATCCTGTTACTGCAAAGAAATCCATGACTGTTTTAATTTTAAAATACAGAACTCTGCTGCAGCCTGTTATAATTTAATTAATTGAAGCATTAGATAACGAGGGGCAGACTTCTGACAATCTCTACAAGTCCCTTCTAACCTCCCTAGGTGCTTCTCCATTGACCATAGAGAAGACAGCCCCAACCTGACAAGTTTATGATCTCAAAATAACAATACAAAAAGCTCATGAATGAAGGACAAGTTATATGTATGTTCTACATCCAAAGACATCAACTGCTCTACAGCTGCTTCTCAACCCTGAAAAAAATGAAAGAAAATAAACGTAAACATATTAACCCTCCCTAGCATTTCAGCTCATACCAGGTATTTCCTTTTGACTCTGATAAACGCAAAAATAAAGGAAAGGGTTTGGTACAATTAAGATGCACAGCTTTTAGAAAGAAACTGTTATATTCTGTTTCTGTTCCAGTCCTTACACACCCTCCTTTTTCAGCATAAGGCTTCTTATCTGAATTTCCAGCACAACAAACAATTTATCTTGTTTGTGCATACCAGCAGCTCATCACCAGGTACACTGCGATCTCCATTCTACCACTGCTAGACAGCTTACCCCACGTGCACTGTTGTGCTTTCCCTAGTAAGATGTCTGTAATAAGTTCCCAGCCAAGGACAAGAAAACCTGTCTCCCGAAAACTCTCAGTTCCTGCACATATCAGAACTCATTTAGCAGACTATAAGCAGTAAATTATTACTGCTGTTGATTAACTCTGTGAAAGTCGTAGTTGACCACTCTCTCTTCCAAGTGTTTTAATTCAGCATTAAAAAAATGAAGGCTTTTCATTTTTTTTTGTACTTGCACATTCTTATTTAGCCTTTGTTAGCTTGCTTCACTTTGTCTGGTACACAGTAAAACACCTTAATTGCAACAAGGTATAACCCTTAAACTGAAGCTTTTTTTTTTTTTTTTTTTTTTTAAAGGACACATTGTTTAACTTAGTATTTACTCAGATTTTAGTTATAACATTGTATAAGAGACTGTGACACCCTACGCCAGAAAATGAATGGTATTATTTTTATCCATTTTCCATTAACTTCCACCCACAACCAATCAAAAATTCCAGAAAGACTGTTGGATTATTAAAGAAGTGTATTAAATAACAGAAATTAATGTTTTATTCAAATTCTAACTCAAATTTCTGTTGGTTTATTTGAATAAGCTTGCAGGAAATTCAGAGAACTTTTGTCCACCCTATTTTTGCTACCCGCCTTCCCAATTCTTTATTTCCTATGTTCATTTTGTCCAGCTTTTAAATTGCACATGCTTCAGGGCAAGGTTCATCATCGCATTTGAAGGGTTTATGTATTCCTAGTCTCCAGAAGCAAAGCAACACATTACATTCTTTAAAGCTCTCTACCAGGATAACTTAAGTATTTGTCAAACACTGTGAAGAAGTTGCTTTTGTTCCACTTGAGTTAACTGCAAAGTAGCTTGACAGTTTCTCTCCCTGTACAGCATTATCCTCCATAGAGCAGACATTCAGATACAGATCTTAAGATGTAGGAAGCAGTAACGCAAACATTTCTAGTCTTTGGTTTACTATTAACACCTACCTCATTTAAAGAGCTCGAAGCGTCCTGTGTCCCACTGTGTAGAGATGGCTCAGAACACAAGTGACCAGCAGAAGTACTGCAATGTCCTCCGTTCCAGTCTGTATCGCCTTCAGAAGTTTTTGTAGATTTCGCTGAAATTTCAGGATTATGATCGAATCTCTCTGATTTGCCTAAGGACTCCCTGAAGCCTTCAAAATCACCCCAGGAACCTCTGGGTTCTGAGGTACAATAACTGCTCTCAGAATCCCCCTCACTCCTGCTGCTATTCACTACAGGGAGGCTTTGCTGCATTACCCCAGGGTTACTAATTTCTTCATTATTTGTCCTCTCATTCATGTTACAGTCACTCCCATCGAGAGACATACCACCTGCTTCAGCTGCTAGATCTCTCGCAGACATGCAGGGTGATGTGTCTGTAGTACTACAACTTTCTACTAGTGGCAGGTTCTGCATCTTTGTTTAAAAGGAACAACCCACATTTAGACATCACTTGTTGAAATCTGTACCGAAAAACAACCAAACGCTAGTTAACTTCAGTTGTATTAGAAATTTGAATATTTCCAAAACATAACCAAATTCTTCATTTCATCCCCAAAGAGTAATAACATTGCTAAATCAAAACAGGATGTCCTTCAGCCTCTCTCCTCCAGAAATCCACACGTGTATGTTATTCAGTCTCACTTTCTGTGTAAGATATTAGCCTGAAATGAAAGAATTGTAAATAAATACTTCTGTGATAAGGGCTGTGTAGGAACGAGAAAAGAGAGTCGATAAGGTAGTAGAAAGAATGCTCAAGTTAAAATAAACACGTTCCAGTATTATGCAACTGAAAAATCACAGCACTTCAGTATACATTTCAAATAATTCTGCCCACATCACAAGAAAACCGTGAAATTAATAACAACATTTGCAAAATATTTAACAGAAGTTGTTGGATCTTAACTGAGTACTTACTGCATACACACAGCAGACAAGAAGAAATACTTACAGCCAATATCCAACGTTATAACAGTTTCACCCAGCTCGGACTGCTTGCAGACAGGGCTCTTTTTGTTTGCCTGGGCTTTCGCAGTCCGAAAGATTACCGAAGAGGCAAATGTGACCTGCAGCAACACAGGAACCAGCAGCTCAATGCTGTGAAAAGCAATAGTGCCTCCAACTATTTAAGCAATTAAGAGTGATTTAATAAGATCAATTTGGCATCTGTGAACTACATATGCGACGCTGCCTTTGTCGTTTCAGATCCATCTCAACTCCTCAAGCATCCTTCCCACCGAGGGGTTGCTTTTGGCAGGCGTGGGGGCGTTCAGAGCTGCAGTAACACCACGTTTTATAGAGACCGGTCACTATGAGACATTCTCAGCAGAGAAACAGAATAAATCTCGATTTTTTTTTTCTTTTTTTTTTTTTTCCCTCCGAGCTTACCCCGATGGAGCAGCCAGGCACTACCCCCGGCGCACACCCACCTGGGCTGGGGACAGCTCCAAGGGACCGGGGGGGCTCTGGGGAGGCCGGACCGGGCACCGGGAGCCCCTCACAGCCTCCCAGGACCCTCCAATCTCCTCGGGGGCTCCGTGAGGCCGGCGTTTCACCCCCGAGCAGAGGCACCCCCGGGGCGCCTCCAGCCCCACGAGTGGCTCCGAGGGGCGGCGGCAGAGGGGGGGGGGCTGCCCGCAGCCTCCCTCCGGGCTCCCCCCGGGGCACACCGAGCCCAGCCCGGCTCCCCCAGCAGCCGAGCTCGCCTCAGCCCCCAGCCCCTGGCCTCCAGGCCCGTGTCGGGCAGGGGGGAGCAGCCTTACCCCGCCGATCCAGCGGCCCGGGCCCAGGAGGGAGGCGGCCGCAGGTCGCTATGGGCGGGACGAGGTGTGCCTGCCTGGCGGCGGCCTGCCTCCCCTGCCCGACCTCCTCCCGGCACATCTGCGCCTTCCCCTCCACCACCTCCTCCTCAGCTTTCTCGGCTGTTGCCCTGGTGAAGTCCCCGCTCCTCCATAGTTCAGTGTCGGGAGGAAACGCTTCGCGCTGAGGGCGCAGAGGAGCTGTGGGTGCCCCATCCCTGGAGGTGCTCAAGGCCAGGCTGGATGGTGCTTTGGGCAGCCTGGGCTGTGGAAAGTGGCCCTGCACATGGCATCTTTAAGGTCCCTTCCAGCCCAAACCACTCTGTGATTCTCTCCCACTTCTCTGGATCAACAGGTCCTTCTCTCATCCACTGTCTGTGCCCCGGGGCCTCTGCCGTTCCCATGGCCTTCACCTTCGTCTCCCTGGGTCAGGGAGTGGAAGTCAACTCCCACCCTCCAGAAAGAGCCAGGAGATCGATTTAAAACTCATGGCATGAAAGAAAAAAAAAAAAAAAAAAAAAAAAAAAGTATTCATATTTTCTCGTTTCTGTAATCTGGCAAGCTAGGGACGTGCTGGTTGATGGTGGCGATTCATGCTTGTTCTTAATTTGAGAGCAGCTAACGTTCTCACATAATCACAAAATTCCAGGACACAGACTGAACAAAAAAGCAAAAAAGAACAACAACAACAAGAAAAAAGCCTCAATCCACCCAGTAATATAACCCCATGATAAAACGCTAGGAACAAGCCAGCTACAGCCTCTCCGGATCTTTTTCTCTCTCCCTCATTTTGCCCTGTGAGGGACTAGGTTGTCCCCTTTCTCCTGTCTTTGCTGAGGCTGGGACTCGACCCCCTGGCTGTGTCAGATAAAGTTGGAAGCTGTGGGTCCCTGGGGACAGGCCACCCCCCAGCCTGAGGGGACTGTCCCTTCTTGTCCATCTCTTGAGAGTGGCAGAAGGGCTGGAGGCAGCGTGCCCGAGGCTGTGCTCCACATCTGCGAGGCAGAGGGAAGAGCACAAAGAACACTCCTCAGCCTCCCCTCAGGGTGTTGGCAGTAACTCCCTGTCCTCGGGGCTGGGTTTAAACTCTGGGCAGTCCCAAGCAACAAAGGACAGTTGTAAAAGCAAGGAAAAAGGTTTTCTGGAGCAAGGCCCAAAATAAAAAGCATTTTCTAGGCATTACAGTACATATGTTTTTCAGCCCAGGCACAGATACGTGCGCTCCCCTCCCACACATCTGACTCTCATTTCAGGCTGTAGTGTTTTATCTGAGGGCGAGAGGCTGACTTTGGGAACAACGCCCAGACGCAGAGCCAAAAGAACTTCATTGGCAGGTCTCTGAAAGATTTTGTTTGTTTGTTTTCTTTCTGCTTTGGAGCCATTTCTTACCCTCCATGGCCATCCCGTGGCAGCCTGCAGCTCCGAGGAAACCCGACCAGCTCAGCGAGACTGTGATTCAGTCCCAAAGCTTCTGACTTGTTAGCTTCTTAGGATAGCGTCATCATCCTGCACTGCAGTAAGTTTGTGCTTCAGGGACCTCTGTGGTTCCGGCGGCCCTCTTAAGTTTTGAAGGGAGCTCATTTTTATTTTATTTTTTTTTTTCAGTGCCAAGATTGTTTTGCACAGCTTTACATTTTCACTCCTCAAAGCAAAAGGCAGCAGACAGACAGTGCAAAGGCTGAGACACTCCCCTCATACCACGCATTGCATCCGGAGGGGAAGGGACGCGTGGGTTTTGCAAACCCGAGTCTGCCCTGCCAAATTCAAGCTGCCTTTACAGTTGGGTAAGCAGAGCCGTGGAAGAGCTGGTGAGAGTCAGGAGCTGCCCCAGGTCTCAGAAACCCCACTGCAAGAGCAGGAACACACCTTAAAATTCTACCTGGGAAATCACCAGTTGCTAACTGAGTCCCTACAGGAGAAACAATGGTGCCCCAGAGCCCACGCTGCACCACCTGCTGGACGCACCTACTAATGCCTCGCTCTCAGGCAAAGGCAGCTAAAAATTCACAAAATCACCCCAAGAAATATCTCCTCCGGGTATTTAGGGCAGGTTTTAAAATCAGAGGGAATCAGCGTGAGGTAAAGTGGATTCCACCTGACCCATCTGAATTAGCATCTCCTGACTCAGCCCAGCTGAGAGACAATGCTGTGAGTGCAGCAGCTGCGAATCCATGTTTTAAATGACACCCTCTTCTAGGCCAAAAATTTAAATGGAAAGCAGTATCACAGCTGGATTAACAGTTTTTTCCCTCAGATTTCTGAACTGGGGACAAAATTCCTGTTATTTGTTTGGTGTGTAAGTCTTGTGACTTTGTCTGGCATAAAACAGGGTTTGGGATTTACCCTGTAATTCCTGCTTTAGTTCTGTAATTTCTTTCTGAACTATCACTTCTATTGAAAATGAATAAATAAATAAATAAATCCAGTCTTTATGTAAAGAATCAGTCTGCAAAAAGCTTCAAGCATGGATACAAGTAGTAGAGCAGAACCTCACTACTCACTGATACAAATGACTGATCTAACTGAACACTAACCTGCAGCTTCTATTGCTGCTCCTGCCCCCATTCCTCCTGGAAAATTGTTTGAGTTCAGTACATATACTCTAGAATTATTCTTTTTCATTTTGTCTTTTAGGGAAAAAAAAAAGAAAAAAGAAAAGGGAAAACCAAACCAAAACAAAACCACCTAATTTGCAATAAAGAAGCTCAATAGAATAGCTGAAAAACATTTACCTTCACAGAAAATCAGTACCACACCACTGTAATATGAATTTTCACTCATTTGTGGAGTGATCTGGTCCTGAATTATTGGATTATGTGGTTCCCTGTAAACAACTAAGGTGATATTGATGACTGCTTTGTTCATTCATTTTCCCTCCTGGTAAAAACACAAACAAATAATAGCTTTGTATTTTCAGTATTTCTTTTTCTTCCTTTAATTGAAGCATTAAACAAAATTAACTTGCTATTTAAATGATGAACATTTTCTTTATATTAAATATCGGATATTTAATATAAATAAATATTATTTTCTTGGAAAAAAAAGAATATGTTACATTTATCTACACTGGCTTAAAATGACATTCAGCAAGTAAAAATAAAGGTCAATTTTGGGTGACTCAAAACCAACTTTTCAGTAAATAAGCTGTCTTTTCAGAAGATGAGTAATAATCTTTTCTCACTGTAAATACCCAGGCTTTCAGATGTTTAGGACATCAGTAGTCATTTGAACAGCAGTATGGAGTGCTCATTTAAAAACAAACAAACAAACAACAAAAACAACAAAAAATTGCAGAGATCATCTCTAAACACTGGTTTAATTGATCAGCTGTGGCTCAAATTTGACAGTACGGTTCATAATTCCACTAAACTCCCTCCTGGCACAACAATGTTGAGACACCTTCCAGCTTCACATTGCTGTTGGTGTCACAGTGTAGATATTTCAAAATATCAGTAAAATCCTTTGTCTTTTTCCTGATTGAGAAATGAGGATGGCAGTGCTTCAGGGCAGACACTTCTCCCCATTGCAAGGTGTGTCTGGATTTCCTGCAACCCCTATGAAATATTTGCTCTGTGGCACCTCTAGCAGTTAGTATTTTGGCTAAAGGATCAACCAGTGTATTTTCAACAGCAGGTGGCAGCTCTCCCTTGTGTCTCTTGCATGCAGGCAACAATATTGATGCTTCTGTGCGAGGCAAGTCATCCCCTCTACACACTACATTAAAGAGGTATTGGAGCACCTGCTTTATGTGCTGACCACGGAAAAGCCATTTCACAGGACCCCTCCACTGTCTGTCTGTAGAAAGGCCTACTTACAAAAAAGTCAACATCCTTTGCCAGGAGATGTAAGATGTATTTTAGGTCCCTCTCGTCTTCCCTGGGGTGTGGAAGATACACACATGAGATGGATGTGCCCTGGGTTCAGTGGCTGTCCTCAGCAATTCTGTCCAGCCCAGAAGTGTCGTTTCAAAACAAAGCTCACATTTACTTCTGTGGATAGTCTGAACAGTGTGAAATCACTCTGGTTTTCAGAGTGATTTTAAAAAGCCCAAATTAAATGACTTTTGGGGAAAGGCAGTGAAGTGCCATTTCACTCTGGCGGTTCATGGAAACACCATCTTCCAAAGCTGTATGTGGGCTGCACTACTTGAAGAACCCCCAGCATGTTACCTAACACATGTGCCAAAAGGAGACTTGAACCTTTCAGAGCTCCTGCATCATCCTGAGGTGGTTCTTGTGCTATATATAAAGGGCCAGGTGCTAGAGGCACCTTCCTATTTGCCAACTCTTTGCCACCACTCCATCATCCAGTGACACTTCTAGATTAAAATCCTTTCCTGTCCTCAGCTTTTTTCCCTTCTGTTGGCAATCCTACTTGCTGAACCCCTCATTTCTTTTATCAGATTTTCTTTTCTACTCCCTGTTTGCCAACTGTTCTCTCTTCTGCCTTTAGCGTCCTTAAAACTCAGGGAGCTACAGCTTGGGGCCCTAAGGAAGAGGTGGCACTCATGAATTCTTGCTATATGGGGCAAAATGTCTCCTGAGTAGCAGAATAATTTGGTGGCAGAAGCAGGAGGCTGCTAACCTCATGCCTGCTCTTGGTATGGCAAGCAACAGTCCATAAATTTCAGGAGATTAAAGGTGGTCTTGAGGTCCCATTGCACTTCACCGAGAGCGTGGCAGGCACGCACCTTGTAAGCAAGCACAACATGTCAGCAGCTGCTCATGTGGGTTTTATCACCCCGGTGGAAAACCAGGAGAATTGTCAGTGCTTTGGCATTGCTCCAGGGCTGCTATTCCTGGATCGCACAGAAGACCCCTCTGAGGTCGCACTGTGAGATAGCTTTTTGGCCTCCTCCCCACCACAACTGTCAGCGGCACCCTCTGTGTGCCTGCTCCTGTTTCCAACGCAGTAAGGGTGCTGCTCTTCCGTACTTGTTTCTTGGTGAGGGGGGACACAAGGCTTCTGATGGAGTCACAGCTTTGAGCTCAGCTCTGCAGGGAAGTGATAAATATCACCAGGCAGCTCGGGAGGGCTGGCACACCATTAAAAGCAGTCCCCTGTGAGCTGCAGGGGAAATCATTCACCCAGCAGCTATGTGAAACCATCAGCAGCCATCATGAACTGCCTGCCCCGTCCTGACCTGGCATGGATGGCTTTGCCTCCCACCCATGTGACAAACGTTGTCATACAATCATAGAATCTAGAATTGTTTAGGTTGGAAAAGACCCTTAAGATCATCCAGTCCAACCATCACCTAACACTGCAAAGTCTACCATTAAATAACATCCCTAAGCACCACATCCACACCTCTCTCAAATACCTCCAGGGAAGACAACCCTACCACTTCCCTAGCCATCCCATTCCAATGGCTAACCACTTTTTCTGTGAAGAAATTCTCGTGATCCAACCTAAACCTTCCCTGGTACAGCTTGAGGCCATTTCCTCGCATCCTATCACTTGTCACCCAAGAAAAAATGCTGATGCCCTCCTCTCTGTAAAATCCCTTTGGGTAGCTGTAGAACCCATACAACATCCAGTTCTCGTAAGTTCAGCTTGAGGGCTGTCTGGTTAGGTGGCGTGGCCCCACAAAGGTGTTCTTATTTTTCTCTTATTGCTGTTTTCTCCTACTTAAAGCTCCACTCCTTGCCCTGAGTGCAGTCAAATCAGAAAAACTGGGAGCATAGCTTTTTATGGTTTCCCTTCTGAATGCAGCTGAAAGTGGGCCCTACACTCTCTGGACTTGCTCCTAGAAAAATACTACACATCCCACAGCTTCAAAGAGGAGGTTGTTAAATGTATGGCAGCAGCACGTGGTACCATAACAAAGCTGTATTCAGTGCTAATCGGTGTCACCAACTTACACCTGCTCCTTGCTCTTTGATAATTTCCTATTAAGCTACAGTTCTGTGTCTCTTTTCTGCTGATCATTCCAAATCATCATAGACTGCACTGAGCACCTCCATAAATCCAACAGTCTCTGCCACCCGCAATTTTTTTTTAGATATCTAGACATTAATTTATAGAAAACACGCCTTGTAGTTTTTGCCAGTGCCCTGCACGCACTGTAAATTGAGTTGTGATCGCTGCGGTTTGCAGCTCGCTAATCCTCTGTTTTAATGCCCGATTAGGCCCCAAATCCATTATTGTTAGTGAGATGTGCGTGTGTGGAGGGCAGGAGGATTTCATCCTCTCTGAGCGCTAAGCTGCTAAAGGTACACCTGACTGGTGCCGTACCAGTGTATTAATTAGCCTGCCTGGAAATTTCATCGCTTCAGTGAGGTTGCTGAAAGGTCAGGCACTCCATTAGGATTGCTGCGCTTCAACTTTAAGTCTGAGCACTTGATACTTAAAAAAAAAAAAAAAAAAATCCAGAAAAAAATAAAACCACAAATCACAAAGCACAAAGATTTTTTTTAAAAAAACTTGAGTCCCTCCCTTCAAGCAACATTTGGAAGAACACCAAATTACAATAATTAGCATCTCTGAAGAAGATGCAAGAGATTACAAGAACCTTGCCTCTTCTTTCCCCAGGTGAGCTTCGTAAGGGCTCCAAAGGCAGGTGGAGCAATGGTCAGCAGTTCACTTTGCAGAGGGAGAATCAGCACCATCCACCTGCCCTGTGACACAAAGAATGAAAGGAGGTTGAAGGTATCCATCCCTGAAAGAAGGCACTGAGGCTGGTAGATGTCTCCTTGTCACAAATTCTGCAAAGTAAAATTAATTACTCATCAGTACAGATGTCATTTTATTCCTTGGAGGGCATCACTGCAGTATGAATGAAAGATACATGCCATCATTGCTAGAAAATAAAAACATGGAATGAAATGGCAGAAAGGCCAAATTTGTGTGAGTTTTGCATACGTGCATAAGGCAGTCATCTACCTTTCCTGCTGGGTGGTGCCACCACCAGGTAGAGCACCATGACTGTGGTATAGACAGCAGGCAAGGGTTTAGCTACCAGGCAAAATAGCTGACAAGTTTTTAAGCTGAGGTAAACTCCCAGCTGAGCTTTCAAGCTCTCGTGATGCCTGCTTTTACATCTGGCAGGTGAGAACGTGCTCTCTGGGACCTCTCTCTGAGCTTTAAGGTCGGACACGTGCGTCTCATAGCTGGGGGAGCCACAAATGTGCACAAGGAGTTCTGGCAGCCCAGGGGACAGATGGCAGCTCGTGGAGCTGCAATAAAATAACCCTCGATTGCATTTGGCTGCGAGTGAGCCCAGCGAGGCAGGGCAGGCTGTCAGCGCGGGGCTGCAGGAACAAGCCCTTCCCTCCTGCCTTCCCTGAGAGTGCTCCCAGCTCATCTTCCTTCTCGTCACTGCTAAAAATACCGTGTGTACCACACTCAGTCAGATACAGAGCGATTTTTAGAATTCATATGGCATGGGGACTGCTTTAAAGCCTGATTCAACCACCCCCATGAGCCTTGTTGCCAGCTACTCTTTGCAGCGTGCAGTTAATAAGGCAGTCTTTAACTTCATTCTTGATTGCAAAGTGCTAAACTAACTACAGCTCAGTGTATCAGCTTCTGTAAGAAGAAGAACTCAAACCTACAAGGTTAAAGCTGGCTGTGAGGAGCTGGACGGGGAAGGGAGGCTGCTCAGCACCGTAACTGCAGGTTTGGACAATTCACAGAACAGATCAAAAGAGGGCAGGAGAGAGCACACAACCCCTTCCTCCTGTGCTAGCAATGCTATCGCGGCTAAAGCTGCAAGAGGGCAGCATGTGTTGTGTTTAATGGTTTATTGGCTCCACTGCTGAGGTCACATTTCTGAGAGC